CACGTTCACAAAGACCTCGAGGGCGCTGAGGGTTTGAGTCCAGGTGTACTTGTCTGTGGTTCCGCCATTCCCTACTGGCGGCGGCTCCTTGCTATCTTCTTCCTTCTCTTCTTCGCCTTTGTCCCCCTCTCCACTGTCGTCTTTTCGGCCTTCTTTTTCAGCCTTGATCTTGGCCGCCTCCTCGTCTGTGACCTCTTCGATCGCAGGAGCCTCTGCCTGCTTCTTGGCTAGCTCCTCTTGCCTCCTGGCCGGCACGCACTCTACACAAGACTCAAGCTTCTGGATCACCATGCGCACACTGGCGGTGACTTTCAAACCCTGTTCACGCAAGCGCCAGCATGTCTGAAAGCGAAGCGACTCAATCAAGCCATTGTTTGGATTGATAAAGAGCAACATCGAGGTTGACTACCGACGGCCTCATCAATATGTATCCTGCTTTTGACTGCGCTGATTACAGTTCCTGACCTATGCAAGTGAATCAGTCGAATTACCTGGATAGCCATGGTCGTCTTCCCTTACACCCCTCACCGTTCCCCTCGTCGTCGCAGACTCGATTCGTCTCCATTTGAAGGTCCCCCAGCCCACTACACCGCTACACCACAGTCGTGAGCGCACTTCCAAATCTCGAGAAATGCACAGAAACATTGAATGCCGTGCCACACCAAGCGCAAATCCATGCCATGCAGTCTGCTGGACACAGTGTCTCCTAAACCGACGGCCACTGCACTTAGGTGACCGGACGGCAGGTGGCTCCCCAGACAAGGCGGGAACAGAGCAGGGCGCATGTTCCTTTTGTACTCCTCCTCGTCTTTTCTTTTCCTTTCCTCCGCCTTCTGCTTTCGCTCCTTCGGGGGAAGGCTCCAGCGGGCGGTGTGCCAGACCGGGACAGAGAGAGTGTGAGAAAGGGAAAGGGAGAAAGAGGTGCATATATGTATTTATATATCTATATATGTACATGCGGCCCCCCTGTACGAACACACATGTCATATTGATGTGTGCTCATCTTCATCCCCCTCTCATTCACCTATACCACACGTATATTCACTACGTCTGCGCTTCATCCTTCTCCTCATTCATCCAGCTCCCTCTCGTCTTCCACCAATCCGTTTTCTCCTGAGGGTTTCTTGAAAGCGGCGAATAATGCACGGCTCAACTTTGAACGTGAACAGTCCAAGGCTTGGAAGGCTTGGGCTCGGGAATCGCTGGACAATGGAGCCAGCAGAGCTCACCGTTTCACCCGTGTACACGTTCTTCAGGAAATCTTGGATCAAACCACTATGGCAAGTCCTCACCAATTCGTTGATAGAGAGATGTGTAAGTGGAAGCGAATTTGGACCAAGCACGGGCTCACGCAGTTCCACAGGACCGCGGACTTTCACCAATGGGACCAGTTGCCAAAGATGACAATCGATTTCCAGCGGTCGGCGTGTTTAAAGTTCAGGAAGACCAGGACTGCTGGGCAGACAAACATATAACCAAGAGTGTTGTGGCCTATATCAGATATTGGGTTTGTTGTCATGTCTCAGCTGTTTGGCCGATGTGAGTCTAAATTGCTGGCAGGGCAATCAAATATACACGACTTTGGTCAGGCTGTCCACAGAAGGCGGAGGGTCTCGTTTGATAGCGCTTGTCAACTCTCTGGTCAGGCTCTGGGCACGTGCTCGCAGTGTCATATCGAAGCGATGGGTTGTTAGCACCGAGATGAGCGAAGTCTGGGGCGCAGGTGGTGCTGGACGGAGCTCGACGGCTGCGGCATTCGAGCACAACCTGTACGCAGAGATGGCGTCGCTGCTGGGCTGGCATACGGCTACAGCTGCGGCTGATGCTCGGAAATGCTACGAGTCCATCAGTCCTTGTGAAGTTCTCAATGAAGCCCGACATCATGGGTTTCCACTGCGGCTGGTTTGGATGGTGCTGGAGTACCACCGTCAACCGCGAGTACTGAAGGCCTTTGCCTCACATTCCGAGCCATTTGTCGCATGGCAAGAGCTCCTTGCTGGATGCTCCCACTCCACCTCCCTCCTCACCCTGCGTGCCGTGCGCAGAGTCAGGTTGCGTGACGTCGTGCCAAGAGCTTTGGTAGACGGCCTCACGATACAGTGGGTGGGAGAGCGGGTGGACGGTGTGGGGGGGTTAAGAATTTCTGGTATGCATTGGCCAACTTTAAGGCACATGAGATGCAGTTAGGTATTGTTCGTCAGGAGCCGGCCTCTGGCAAGTCGGGGTATGTAGCTGGCAGCCGCACGGTCCGTCGGGCCTCTCGCCGTTGGGCTTATGGGGCGAGACTGGAGGTCAAGCGCAACATGCGCAATCTCGGACACGAGTTGTCAGGACGTGATCGGATGAGACCTATCACAAGAGCCCGCCTAGCCAAGCTGAAGATTCGAATGCGCAAGACGTTCCCTATGCGCAAAGCTGTAGGTAACAAGGTTTCGCGTTTCTGGAGAACTGGTTGGCTTCCAGGGGCCAGCCATAGCTGTGGAGTTTCGGGCACTACTGACACTGGCTCCGTAGGCTCCGAGCGGCTGCGGGGGCTCTCGTGAGTGCCAAGGGCCGTGGGTCCACTACGGTCTACCTTGCGACTCAGCCCGACCCATGGTACGATCAGATGTTCGAGGCCACCCTGGCCCCCTTTAAGCACTATGCCCATGCAGTGTGGATGCAGACGGTTTCGCTTGGAATGCTGGAGCGGGCTTGGAGGGCCCTTGCTGGCAAGCGAGCGTAGACATTCACGTGGCAGCACGCGTCTGGGCCCATGGCGGTAGTTTGCCTGTCATTGATGAGGCCGATTGGTCGATGGAGTCGTCGTTAGTTGTGCGGCCTGGCCTTGGGGAGTCTTACTCGTTATTGCACATCGACCCTCATCACATGGTCCAATTGCTGCGTGCTGGCATCCAGAGGTGGCAGATGCGTAGGATCCAGACCCATGTGCCTGAAGTCCCTGCCGGTTGCGAGTTGTGGCCCCGCGGGATCCGAGCTTCGGTTGGGTCCAAGGGGGCCGCGCTCAAGACCCCGAAGTCGACTGGGATCGTTCGATCCCTTTGGGCCAGCTCCTGGTGGCAGAAGGATCGATCGCACGCTGCTGGGTACACGCCTGATCCAAAGTGTCGAGGATGCGGTGCCCCTTGCGAGTCTGTAGGTCACCTTCTCTTGGAGTGCCCTGCGTCGCGGGAGACACTTCTGGACGGAGAAGAGGGGGTGCCTATCACACAAGTGATGGTCAGTTGGCCCAGGGACCGATCGGGCGCCGAGGGATTTCTGATCCTCAGTTCTGGGCTTTCGGTGGGCATGCCGCTGCTGCCAGGCCCTCGAGTGCAGCCACCTCGAGACCCACCGATTTTCTGGTGGGGCGATTGGACCACCCCCCGAGCCAGCGAGGCAACGTTGTGTTCACGGACGGCTCAGGAAGGTGGTCTACCCAGCCAGAAATTCGCAGTTGCGGCTGGGCTTTTGTCCAGATGTCGGACGCAGGGCTCCCACTGACTGTGGGCGGCTGGCGGGGCCGAGCCAGACGGTCGGCGAAGCTGAGCGTGTGGCGATGCTGCGAGCGTTGCAAAAGTAGCCGTCTCTAGAGGTTGTCGTCACGGACCTCCTTGGCTTAGCCCAGGAAGCGCAGGAATGGAGTTCTGCCGCCACCAGCTCAGCAGGCAAGCCCGCGTCGGTGTGGAGGCAGATTCACGCCGTGGTTGAGCCTCGGGGGGGGGGGCGCCCTGTTGTGCCCTGGTGCCCCGCCTCTATATGGACCTCGACGACGCCTTTTTGCCTAGGGCCTGAGCAAGGCCCTCCGTGCTGTTGTCCTAGGGAACGCCGGGGCCGAGTTCTTTGCAAAACTGGGGGGCTTCGTGTGACGCGGTCGACCGCGGGACGGCTGATTTGTACAGGCTGGCCCTGAAGGAATCGCAGGATTTCTCACGGCTTTTTGGCATGGGCTGGGGGGCGCCTGATTGAGCTTGGTCTGTGCTCGTCTGAGGCTTCGTCGGAGGCTGTTTGATCGAGAGCCCCCCAGCCCGTGCTGTGTGCACCTGTTGCTTCTACCTCTGGACCTGGTGGTCACAACCTCTGGCACAGCAAGACCCGAAGGGAGTGGCTATGTCGTGAATGCGGCACAGTCACCAGAACCGAGACAGGACTCCGCACCCTTGCCTCCGCTGCCGCCCGTTGCCGCTCTGTCCCGTTCGACCTCTGGAAAGCGAATATGGTGTTTTGGGCGGGGCCCCAATGATTGGGAGCTGTTTGTGTCCGAGTGGGCCCGTGCGGCGCTGGACGCGGCCGACAGGTCTGCCATTGAACCCGAGGGCTCGGCGGAGGCCCCTTTGGGGCATGGCGCGGGGGGCTCTTGGGAGCTGACCCCCACCGATGGAGAGCTTGGCCCTGTGGGGGGCGGTCGGCTCAGCTTCGCGGGAGGGGTCGGCCTCGGCGGGGGTCGCCGATCGTGCCTCGTGGCCTGGGCCGTAGCGTGGTGGGGCCCCGTCGGACCCTCCTGGACCTCTGGCGCGGGGCCCTGCTCCTCCTCCTCTTCCTCCTCATCTTCCTCCTCCTCCTCCTCACCCTCTCCCGCTCCATCAGCATCATCAGCATCATCAGCATCAGCATCAGCATCAGCATCAGCATCAGCATCATCATCATCATCATCATCATCATCATCATCATCATCATCATCATCATCATCATCATCATCATCATCATCATCATCATCATCATCATCATCATCATCATCATCATCATCATCATCATCATCATCATCATCATCATCATCATCATCATCATCATCATCATCATCATCATCATAATCATCCTCATCATCATCATCATCAACAACAACATCGTCATCATCATCATCATCATCATCATCATCATCATCATCATCATCATCATCATCATCATCATCATCATCATCATCGTAATCATCATCATTATCAGCAGCAGCAGCAGCAGCCGCATCATCATCATCATCATCATCATCACCATCATCATCATCGTCAGCATCATCATCAGCATCATCATCAACAGCATCATCATCAGCCTCATCATCATCACACTCATCAACATCATCAGCATCATCATCATCATCAGCAGCATCCCAGCCATCATCATCATCATCATCAGCAGCATCATCATCATCATCAGCAGCAGCATCAACATCAGCATCATCATCAGCAGCAGCATCATCAGTCCGATTCGTTGCCACTCGGCATGCCTCCTCCTCCTCGTCCTCCTCCTATTCCTCCTACTCCTCCTCCGCATCCTCATTCTCGTCATCATCAGAACCATCAACATCATCATCAGTATCATCAGCATCATCATCATCAGCAGCATCATCATCATCAGCATCAGCATCAACACCATCATCATCCGCATTATCATCATGAGCATCGGAATCAGCATCATTCTCATCATCATCAGCAGCATCATCATCAGCATCATCATCACGATCAGCATCATAATCATCCTCCTAATCATCCTGCTCCTCATGCTCCTTCTCCTCCTCCTCCTCCTCATCATCCTCCTCATCATCCTCATCCTCCTCCACCTCCTCCACCCCCTCCTCCTCCCGTTCCTCCTCATCCCCCTCTTCCTGCCTCCGCCTCCTCACCCATGTTCCCCAGGCATGAGTGTGCTGCGGATTCTTCGTCTTCGTCTTCTTCCTCCTCCTCCTCCTCCTCCTCCTCCTCCTCCTCCCTCCTCCTCCTCCACTTCTCTTTCCTCCTCCTCCTCCTCCTCCTCCTCCTCCTCCTCCTCCTCCTCCTCCTCCTCCTCCTCCTCCTCCTCCTCCTCACTCGTCGCCCCTCCCTCCCCCTCTTCCTACTCCCCCTCCGTCTCCTCGCCCCCCTCCTCAATTCACTCCAATGTCGGCATCCTCCTCCGCATCCTCATCCTGCTCATCCTCCTTCTCGTCCGCCGTCCTCCAGCTTCCTCTACCTTGGCAACATCATCATCATAATCATGATCATCATCATCCTCATCCTCATCCTCATCCTCATCATCATCATCATCATCATCATCATCATCATCAGCAGCAGCAGCATCATCAGCATCATCATCATCAGCATCATCATATTCAACATCATCATCATCATCACCATCATCACCATCATCATCATCATCAGCATCATCATCATCAGCATCATCAGCATCAGCATCATCATCGCCATCATCATCATCATCATCATCAGCATCATCAGCATCATCATCATCATCAGCAGCAGCAGCAGCAGGATCATCATCAACAACAACATCATCATCCTTATCGTCAACATCAGCATCATCAGCATCGTCATCACCACCACCATCAGCATCATCAACAACAGCATCGCCATCATCATCATCAGCATCATCATCATCGTCATCATCATCATCATCATCATCATACTCATCATCAGCATCATCATCATCAGCATTTTCACCATCGTCATCATCTGAATCACCATCGTCATCAGCATCATTATCATCCGCATCCGCATTATCATCACCAGCATCAGCATCAACATCAGCATCATGGTCATAAGCATCAGCATCAGCATCATCAGCAGCAGCAGCATCAGCAGCATCAACATCATCATCATCATCAGCAGCATCAGCATCGTCCTCCTCATTAACATCAGCATCATCAGCATCATCAACATCATCATCAGCATCATCAGCATCATCTTCTTCATCAGCATCAGCATCAGCATCAGCATCATCATCAGCATAGGCATCATCATCAGCAGCAGCAGCATCATCAGCATCAGCACCATGAGCAGCATCATCATCACGGCCAACAGTATCATCAAAATCATCATCATCACCATGGTCATGATCATCAGCATCGTCATCATCATCAGCATCCTCATCATCAACATCATCGTATTCATCATCAGCAGCATCATCAGCATCGTCATCAGTATCAGCATCAGCATCATCAACAACAGCATCATCAGCATCATCAGCATGAGCATCAGCATCATCGTTATCATCAGCAGCATCGTCAGCAGCACCATCATCATCATCATCACCACCATCATCATCATCATCATCATCATCATCATCATCATCGTAAGCATCATCATCGTCATGATCAGCATCAGCATCATCATCACCTTCAGCATCATCAGCATCATCAGCATCATCATGTCAGCAAAAATACGTTGCTGTGCCACGTGTTTGTGCAATCGTATGCCCATGCTTCTCTTGGTGTAAGCCTCCTGGGAAGAAACCCACAAATGACCTGTCTCCAAGATCTTCTCCGTCTGACAAGGGGCCTCGGTAAGGGATGGGAAGGGAGGTAGAGGGAGATTGGGAGATAGGGAGAGGGGGAGGGAGGGAGAGAGGGAAAAGGAGAGGCAACAAGAGAGAGATAGGAATACTGTCGGGCCCAGGCCAGAAGAACCCTCCTCAAGAACATGAGACCCTCCGAAGCCATAAGATCACTCGAGGGTACCCTCCCCCAGGATGCACCAGAAAATGCAACCAACACGAGCAACCAACACGAAGAACAGTGGGCGCCCTCCCCGAGCCGACCTCGACCTTATGCCTCGACTGGCTGCACGGCAGGGACGAGGGAGGCGGGACTCCTCGTCGGCTACCTTGTTCTTCTCCTGTATCTCCTGGCGCCGCTTCAGACCGGCTTTCCAGTGCTTCTTGTAGTACCTCCGTCCGACCAGCGCTTCCCCGTGCAGCGACGTCGAGGAGCAGGAGAAGAGAGGCGAAGAAGGGCAGCGCAGCACCGACGTCAGGCAGGTTCCGCAGCTGCAGGACACGCAGGGAAAGCAGGAGGAGGAGCACACAGCACAGCCGGATCTAGAACCGAAGAACATCCGTCGAGAACATGAGACCCTCCGCCGGCCCAAACTGAAGGACCTTCGAGTATGCCCTCCCCCAGGATGCACAAGAGCATCCAACAAGCACGAAGAACATCAGGGCACCCTCCTCGAATCGACCCCGACCTTATGCCCCGGTCCGACCGTAGTCGGCGAGGGGAGCAGGGACGCCGACCTGCATGCACTGGCAGCCCCGCCGGGTCAGAGAGGGGATGGCCGTCAGCCAGCCAGGCCAAGAGAAGATCGAACCCTGGCCAGCATCAGGACTCGAGTAGAGGATCGACTACAGCATTGCTTTGCGACAGAACTACAGTCATCGGCCTGACCTAAGGAACGATAAATAAGGAACGAAGCCCCTTTTTATCCCAAGGAATAACGCATAAGGAACGATAAATAAAAAGAACGCACAAGGAACTGTAAATAACGCATTCAAAATCTAAGGAACGACCGAGCCCCTTTTGAAAAGTAAGTGTTCCTTAGTCAAGCCGCTCACTGTATTTGTCCGCTGGGGGAGGGGGGGGCCAAACAGACGAGAGAACGCAGAATGCTCCGTAGATCTGCGGAGCATTCTACGTTCTGCTCGCGACTCCTCTGGAACCTCCATTCTGGGGGACATCCATGCTGCAGTCGATCCCCCGAGTACCCGAAGGATGCGCAGGGCTCGCAACATGTCTCTGACGTGGGCGCCTGGTGGGCTCGGCCCACCGGCCTCCTTCTCCTGAGCCGCTCCTCGACGGCCCTGGGGCCATGGAGACGGCACCCAGAGCCGAAAGCGTCGACAGAAGCAGCCGCCGCGATCTGGCCGACGCCCAAAAAGCCCTGACTACACAACCAAGCAACAAACGACCCAACAACAACAAAAAAACAACAACAACAACAACAACAACCACAACAACCACAACAACAAAAAAAAAAACACAACAACAACAACAGCAGCAGCAGCAGCAGCAACAACAACAACAACAACAACAACAACAACAACAACAACAACAACAACCAACACCAACAACAACAACAACAACAAAAACACCCCGACGACGACGACGACGACGACGACGACGACGACAACAACAACAACAACAACAACAACAACAACAACAACAACAACAACAACAACAAACAACAACAACAACAACAACAACAACAACAACAACAACAACAACAACAACAACAACAACAACAACAACAACAACAACAACAACAACAACAACAACAACAACAACAACAACAACAACAACAACAATTACTAGCACGTGGGGACACTCCGTTCTCACCAGTGCCAGGGTTTTCATAGGAGGCGGGCAATACCCCCACTTTGTGGGGGGGCCGGTTCAAGCTCTACCAAATTTCCATACGACTCTTCGCCACCACCCACACCCAGCTTCCCGCCCTATGACGTTCGGACGCTTCACTCGTGGCCCGTTTGACAGAAATGTTGAAAAAATATTGGGTTTCCTCAGAAATCCGCAAGAGCGCGCAAGATGATTTTTTGAAACTTGTTTTTTGAAAAACCATTGGGTTTTTCATGTTTTTATGTTAAAATCGCTACGAAAACTAAGGTTTTGGAAGGATTTCATCTTGCGCGCGCGAGTGTGCACTTCGTGTCATTTTTTGCAAAGGATTCTTGAAGTTTGGTTATGTTAGAACAAGACATGTCATTTTATAGTGTTTTTTGACAGGGAAAGCGGGCGTCAACAAAACAACCGGATCTGGATGACATCGTTTTACCTGAGACTTCCTCACGAAAATTATGAAAATGTGGCTGCGGCCTAGGCGCGGGGGGGGGGGCGTGCACCAGGGGGCCCAACAATAATTATTCTTTAGAATTAATAATGTTCAACAACAACAACAACAAAAACACCCCGACGACGACGACGACGACGACGACGACGACGACGACGACAACAACAACAACAACAACAACACCCAACAACAACAACAACAAAAAGCGTCTCGTGCTGACCTTCGCCGCCTTCCTCCGGCCCGCCGCCGCTCTGCGTCCACCGGCTTCCCCCCGAGGCGACGACGCCGGAGGCGAGAGGCCCTTTCTGGAGCGACCCGTTCGCTCTCCCCCAGACAAGCGCGCTCCACGTCCACGACGCGCAGAGCAACTACGGACTCGCAGATGGCCCGGATCCGCCGCGGGGGATGCACGATACATCACGCCGAGGCAAGCATATTCTGTCGGACGTTTGCGAGTCGGCACTTTTTCTGCGAGTAGTGGAACGCGCTTGGCGATTTTCGGCACTCAGATCTGAAAGTTTCCCTCTGCCCCCAAACCCTCCAATGTTTGGGTCCGCCTCAGCGCCGACGGCGCGCCAAACCTCCGCAGAAAGACCTCTGGAGAATCTTCCAGAAGGCCTCCGGCAGACTCCAGAGACCCGCCTGGGATATTCAGCAGGCCTTCGAAGAACCCAGTCAGCATCGTTAGAACTATAGTCTTGGAATACCATGTGGGACCTGCTCTAGAACAGGAACATACCGTAAGTGGATCTGTTCGTTCTCCGACCCTGTACTGCGCCGAACGCAACGGCCGCACTGTCTACAGACGTATCCAACCCGCATGTGTTATGTGTAGACGAGCGCGTGCCACTACTCGCAAAGTGACTACTCGCAAATGGCCTGGATCTGCTGGGGGGATCTACGAGAAATTACATCGAATCAGATATGTGTGTTTCGGGCGCTTGCGAGTAGGCACTTTGCGAGTAGTAGAACGCGCCCGGTGAATGTGTGGGGCGACATCCACTGTGTCCATAGACGCTTGTGGCCAGAAAGTGAAAACGGAATTTCGCACAGGCCCCAGATGTTGGAATTCTAGAAGCAGGTAGACTTGGCCCTCCAACTACAGCTGAAGCATAGCCACAAGAACGTGGGTCAAGAACACGATCCCCCTCGCAAGAGGCCGAAGGCCGCATGGCGTTACACCAAACAAAAACCGCTCCAAGGTGGGGAGCCGTGCCATGAAGTCCTTCATGGTACTCCTCCAAAGTTGGCCTTGGACTCCTCCTCATCCTCCTCCTCCGCCTCCTCCTTCTCCTCCTCCTCCTCATCATCATCAACCTTGACCTCGTGCCAGCTGCATCCCCATCCCCACTGCGAACGCCCTGGCCGCGCTGCCAAACCTACCCCCCCTTGGGTGGGGACGGATGCCGTCCCCGTCGAGCTTCGCCGCAGCCGCCCCCCACCTCGAGGGGGCAGGCCGCTGGCGCTGAGCAGCCTTGGCCCACTGGGGGGGTCCCGCCTCAAGGAGGAGGAGGAGGAGGAGGAGGAGGAGGAGGAGGAGGAGGAGGGGCAGGTCTGACACTGACTGACGATGCTGACCCAGGAGGCCCCTAGAGGCTGGGAGGTCCGAGGGAGGTGCTGCACACGGGCGAGGCCGAGACAATATAGCACAGAGGAAACGGACCCTGGAGGAAGAGGATCCTGGAGTTTCTTTCTCCGCTTTCGGGCCCCAGCGGCCCTCTGCAGGCCCCGGCACGGTCCAAAGACGGCTCAGCATGAACAGGTGGCCCCGGGAAAAAGCCCCAGGGTCAGGACCCGTCTCCTTCAGGACCCCCCTGCCGTCTTGGCGACAGGCAGCAGGCAGCAGGCAGCAGGCAGCAGGCAGAAGCAAGGCCAAAGGAGACGGGCGCGCGAGGGCAGACCTCCTTTCATAATTCTCGCCCGCCCACAACTCGCCCACAACTCGCGCGAGGCCATCTTCCCCCGCCCACAACTCGCCCCAGCGGGGATCGAAATGTGCGTGAGAAAAAACGGCTGATGCTGCTCACTGCTCACAGCTCACTGCTCCTCCTCCTCCTCCTCCTCCTCCTCCTCCTCCTCCTCCTCCTCCTCCTCGTATTCCTCCTCCTCCTCCTCCTCCTCCTCCTAGCAGCCGGTGTAGGTCGCTTCATGATGAGCGCCTCCGCGGCCGCCTCGTCCTGAGCCCCAGTGAAGAAGTCGGTCCTGCCCCACCCTCGCTCCCAGCTCCCGCCCTGTGATACAGATGGCCGACTCAAGAACTGCTGCTTCTTCTACGACTACTGCTACTGCTACTGCTACTGCTACTGCGACTGCGACTGCGACTGCTACTACTACTACTACTACTACTACTACTACTACTACTACTACTACTACTACTACTACTACTACTACTACTACTACTACTACTACTACTACTACTACTACTACTACTACTACTACTACTACTACTACTACTACTACTACTACGACTACGACTACTACTACTACTACTACTACTACTACTACTACTACTACGACTACGACTACGACTACGACTACGACTACGACTACGACTACGACTACGACTACGACTACTACTACTACTACTACTACTACTACTACTACTACTACTACTACTACTACTACTACTACTACTACGACTACTACTACTACTACGACGACGACGACGACGACGACAGCTGCTGATGTGTTATTCCTACAATGGCATATGGTTCGTAATGTCTATGCTTCGTCTGCTGCTACAGATCCTGACTCCGCTCCCCGTTCCATCCCACATCCCACTCACGTTTCCCCTCTCCTCTCCCCGTCCCAATTCCCGTCATCCCCCTGGTCGCTCCCCACATCAATTTCGGTGTCGCACCCGTCCGTGCCGTCACGGCAGAGCAGCGAACCACCCCTTCCCGTCTTGCGTTGCAGGAAGCCGAAGAACATGTCGAGAATGTTCTCAATGGAACCAGCCTTGCCCGCAAGGGTGGCCGTTCGGGCCCGAACGTTCCTGTTACGACTCCCTATCGCACATTCCGTCGAATCGTCCACCTCGACCCCGTCAGTTCGTCCACCATATCCCCTCACCCTCTTCCCGTCTCCCCCGTCCCATTCCCCTACCTCGCATTGCCCTCCACGATCCCCCCTCATCCTCGAACCTAAACTGTTGTTTGCTCCTGCCCCCTTGCCCCCACATCTCCCGTTCTTTTTCCACTGCACCTGTGAAATATGGGTCACCAAGCAATTCCCCACAAGCGAACCCACCCGAACAAATGCAGGCGTCGACTATCCCCTATGCATGTGCAGACTCGGGTTCTATACCCCGGCTGACTTGTTTTTGGCTTCCTTCCCAACGTGAAGCTCCAATGTTCGACCACGAGCAAATCCCACTAGACCTGTGGGCGGAGGTGGTATAACGAGTTCTTTTGTTCCTCTTCCAAAACCCTCCTCCTACCTTTCCCCTCCCCATAGGTCTGGACGGGGGCGGGGGCGGACCCATTGGAGCGTTCAATATGGCCCAAGATGGATCCAAGAGGGCTCCCAACGCCACAAACTGGCCTCCAAAATGGCTCGAACGGGCGGGGGGCGAGCAGAGGGATGTCACACAAGGCAAATGGAAGAGAAGGGAAGAGGGGGAGACGGGGTGAAAACGGACCAAGGAGAGGATTTCGGGGGCAAGGGGGGGCACAAAGGGAAAAGAAGGGGGGCGGAGCTGGAGGGGAAGAGGCGGTCCGTGGCGCGCCCGCGCCGACGCGGAGCGGAATCCGCGCCAGCGGGATCGAATGCTTTCCGCGCGATGCGATGCGGGGCGGAGCCGAATGCAACACTACCGAAGCCCATGGTTGTTTTTCGATTCGGCGCACGATGGCGCAGTGGTGCAAGGCTCTGCGCGGACTCGGGTGCCGATGGGCGCGGCAGGTTCCAGGAAGAGGCGAGAGAACCCGCCCGCACAGGCCATTTCTATGCGTTCGGGGCCGCACGGCGTGGACGATGCAGATGTTCTCCCAGGGCGACTTAGCACCAGATCACTGCAGTCGCCTTCGCCGCCTGATGCCGGGACGGGGAAGGACGCTGCGAGGAGGACGGCCGGAATCTCCACCGTCATCCCTCAGCCCGCCGGGAGGCCTCGCTTTCGGACGATCGCTCGGCCTCCGTCGGCCGATCGGGGCGACCTGGGCACCCCTGGCACGCCCTCGACGACGCGCCCTCGACGACGCGCAGCTGCGCGAGAAAAACGCAGGGAGGGCGGCCGCGGAAGGCGGGAGGTGACTGGATGATTTTGAACCGACACGGCTACGGAACGCACAGAATTGCACGCAACCGTTTATACACTATGTTTTGCTACACTCCTCCTCGGCACGGCGCGGCCCGCGCCACCGTCGACAGCAAGCATTCACACCGCTCGCCAAATGCGAGCCTCGGCTATCAGCTCGCCACACGCGAGCTCCAGCGCACGTTACAGCGCTCGCAGGCCGCGAGCACAAGCTTCATTAAACGGGTTGGCCGAGCTCTTGGCCCAAGCCGCGTTCACACCGCTGCCCTCAGGGACAGCTCACTCCGGCCCTCCAGGATCACGAATCCGCACCGGTCCATGAAGAACTCAATAGTGTCACCACTCAGGTGCTTCGTCATCATGTCCGCTGTGTTGAGCTCGCCAGGCACCTTGTCCAGTCTGGCGCGCTTCTCGTGGTACATTTGTTGCACCCAGAGGTACTGGGTGTGCAAGTGCCGAACCTTTCCCACAGCGAGCCTCAGCGCCATACCGCGCCCGGCTGTCGCATCCGTCTCCACGACCAGCTCCTTCTCGATGCCGAAGTCTTTGCACATGCTTTGAGCGCCGAGTCCGATGCTGGTCCCGCGCACGATCGCGTAGAACTCCGACTCGCCACTCGACAGTGCCCGAACCGTCTGCGTGTTGGCGCCCGCCTTCAGTAAGTGAGCGCCGTGGTACAATGCCGTACCTGTCGTACCCTTTCTCGTCATCACGCACCCCGCATGGTCCGAGTCACACGCCACCTTGAGGTAGTCCGGCTCGACCTGCTGCACGAACTGCTGCACGAGCCTTGGTCGGCGCATCAGGTAGCGCCCGATTCGTTTCACCATCGCCATCGCAATCTGAGTCGGCTTGCTCATCCAGCGCGCCGCTTCCTTCGCTGCGAAGAGTAGGTCGATCCTGTCCATCGCAAGGTAGTTGAGCCGCATGCACACGCTGCGAAACAGCGCCGCCTCGGCGGCACCGAGCGGGGGAGACTCGGTCAGCTCCTCCGCGGTCCTCTTGATGCCCGGCGACGTCACCGCGTTGCTGCCCCTGCTGGTGCCGAGCTTCAGCTGCGCCAAGACAATCTCGACGTGGCGCGCGTCGGCCTCCCACTGCAGGCACGGTACGCCGTCCTGGGTCTCTGTGAGCCTCACGATCCTGTTGAGCAGCGTCACCTCGCGCAGGTCGCCCTCGTCCCAGCCGAGCACCCCGCGCACCTTGACCATCAACTCCTTGGACAGTTCTGTCTTGAACCACTCCAGGGCGTCGCTATCGCCCTCACTCACGAAGTCGTCTCCGTGGTAGAACAGCAGGATGCCTCTCTCGTCGTGCCTGCACAGGCACGGGCAGAAGACTCCTATCTTGAATCCCATCTTGCGCAGCACCTCCATCACCTTGTCAGCGAATTTAGCCGCGGCGTCCCTGGTCCCGTACATGCTCTTGAGTAGCAGCGCACAGTATCCTTCACGACGCCGCTGGACAGGCCGACCCGAGAGCCAGCGGCGTCCTCACTGACCCCCCCGCGGTGCCGACCTTCGCTCCGACACCTGGCCTCTGGAGGCCTCTGGCGGCCAGGGGGCACATCGACGCCTCGGCCCCTGGACCTGACTACCTACCAGACCACCCAAACCCAACCCGAAGACACGAATTTGACCCGAATTTCGGGTTGGGGAGGTACGGGGACCATGTGTTTTTTCGATGTTCCCCGACCCCCCCCCCCCACTGGAAATGGAGGGCAAATGGAAGCCTTCGGGTTGGGTTGGGGTGGTTTGGTGGGTGGTGAGGACCTCCTGGACCCTCCCCCCTCTGACGCCTTGCCCCTGACAAGCAGCAGGCCTCCGGCACCGTGACCCTTCCACGACCGGGGGGCAAACGATACGGGGGGGACTGGCAGGTGGGGCGGGGCACACCGACCCGGAACCGGCGACACGTCGCCGATAGATCGGCGATAGGCCCCCGATGGCGGAACCGCACGTTCCTGGGCGGCGTGGGGCTGTCGGACCCCTATCGGCGAGCATTCGGCGATTGGGGGTCGATGCTTCCCCCCCAGTGCCTATCCCTCCCTATCGTTGCCCTTGGAAGGAAGGGGGAGGCGTCACGGAAGGGGTTCGTCACAGCAGGTGTCGGCCTACGCCGCGCCCGAGGAGGGGATTGAAGGACCCAGGCCTCCGACGCCGCGTTTTTGTTCGCAGCGTGGGCCCTCAGGGGCTTCGACCCTGCCCCCAGGACCGGCTCCTCTCCTCGAGTGGGTTTCCGACGGTCCTGGGGCCCTGGCGCTTCTTTCGCAGAGCGAGGTGGTCTGACGCTCGGGTCGTGACTGGATGCCTCTGGCCGCCGAGCGGGACGACCCGAAGACTTCAGGAACGCTCGCGGAGAGGGGCGCAGCTGCAGGAGGGCATCACGGGGCGAGCAGATCGACCAGAACTGCCAAACGACAAAACAACCACATAAACAAACAAAAAATGAAGTACAAAAAACAAACAAACAAAAAAGTAAAAAACATAAGCACCCCCCCCCCCCCCCCCCCGAAAAAAAAAAGAAACATAAAACAACAAAAAAAACAAAACAACAAAAAATCAAAAAACAACAAAAAATACAACAACAAAAAAAAAAAAAAAAAAAAACTGCTCGCCACGCGACGAGGCCTGAGGAGCCCCTGAGAGCGGGCGGCCGCCCCGGCAGCCAGCGGCGGCCGACCGCGCGCCTTCCCCGGACGCAGCCCGGCCGTACAGCGGCTCGCGCGGCGCCGCGCCGCGGCACCGCTGGCCACCCTCGGCGCCTCGATCGGCGACGCGCAAAGAGCGACCCTGTGCCCCACCAGCCGGGCTTGGTGGGCTTGTTTTCCACCACCACCACCACCACCACCACCATGAGTAGGAGGGGGAGGGAGTCCTCCTCCTCCTCCTCCTCCTCCTCCTCCTCCTCCTCCTCCTCCTCCTCCTCCACCGCCTCCCCCTCCTCCAACTTATGGTGGTGGTGGTGGAAAACAAGCCTATCAGGGCTGTCTGGGCCGGTCGCCAGCAGACGCCGAAATGCGTCTCGATGAGGGGCAGTCTGTCCCTGGCATGTGCATGTGCCGCTGCGCGTGTTGTCCGCTGGAGCCTGCGGCAGTCTCGCGCCAGTGATCTGCGTGCCGCGCCCCGGGCGTTGTGCTCGCTCCATGTCCCTCGCCCTGGAGCCGCGGACCACAAGAGAGTAAGAGTGAGCCTGGGTAAGAGTGACCTTCGGTGCGCGGCTTTTGGGGTGCCACGGGGGGGCCAAACGCGAGCGGGCGAGACGCCACTGCCGCCTCGCGGTCGGCGATCGAGGACCCCAAGGGGACCCGCACCAAAGGTCGCTCCGACGAAAGGTCACTCTTACGTGTGGTCGACTCGAGCCCCCTGCTCCCCAGGCCGGGCCCGGAGCGGCTGATTGTGGGGGGAAGGTTAGGGTTGAGTCGGGCGTGTCCCCCTACAGGGAGGGGTCCGGCGAAGAATGAAAAATACTCAAAACATGCTCCAAAACGGTCAAAAGATCCCAGAAAACATAAGTCCCCTGACTATTTGTGGACTATTTCGGAATTTCCCCCCTGTAGAGGGACAGGCCCGACTTCACGTTCGGGAGGGGCCGGCCACGCCTCGCCGATAAATCGGCGATAGAATCCCCCGATGGCGACGCCGCACGCTCGTGGGCGGGGTGGGCCGACGTCGGGCCCCCAATAGGCGATGCGTGGGCG